TTATCAGAGAGAAGGAAATAAAAGGAGAATGAATTCAGTAGCAATTTGAGATGAATAAAGATTCCCTCCGTGAATGTTGGTGGAAAAGTCGGTGAGATACAATATCAGCAAATATTGTCGATTCTTAAAGAGGGCTTGGTTAAAATTGATGCATTATTTAATTATACTTTTAGTTTATAAGGTTGGACTATATAAGGGTTATTGATTGTTATTTGTAATGTTAGATTAATGATTTGCACTATTAGCTTAATGGTTTGGACATCTTAAATCTATTTTTAGAAATGGCATAGTAAGGTTTATATATATATATATATATATATATATATATATAATATATATATATATATATATATATATATATATATATATATATGTTCATGTGAGACGGCCTAATTTTGTGAAACCGTGAGACTCAATTTTTTTTTTTTTTTTTTTTAGTTAATTCAAGTTCCGAAAATAATATTTAAAAAAGAATTTTTTAATTTTTTCATTTATTTTGCATTTTTAAATTATTTTTAGAATATGTACAGTGTAATATTCTATTTAGAATATTTCACGTATTTTAAAAAAAAAGGATTTTTTTAATTTTTTTTAGTTAATTCAAGTTCCGAAAATAATATTAAAAAAAAGAATTTTTAGATTTTTCCATTTATTTTGAATTTTAAAATTATTTTTTAGAATATGTCAGTGTAATATTCTATTTAGAATATTTCACGTATTTTTCAAAAAAAAAACGGGATTTTTATTTTTATTTTTTTTTTAGTTAATTCAAGTTCCGAAAATAATATTTAAAAAAAGAATTTCTGGATTTTTCTATTTATTTTGAATTTTAAAATTATTTTTAGATTTGATCTCACGTTCTCACAAAATTAGAATGACTTCAAATGAACCTTAACATATATATATATATATATTGCAGCTAAAGATGTACATTCTTTTTTGACAGGAGTCGTCAGAATTCCATAAAAGATCATTTGAAGGGGCCATTGGTTCAATAAGAGCTATTGCAGCAAGTCATCTTTGGCAGGTGGACATGTGGCATGTTTTTTATTTGTCCTTACATTTCCACTTCGGTTAATAAGCATCTAACATTTTACAATTTTTAATCAAAACTTTTAGCTTGTGGTTGTTCGTGCTGATCTAAATGGGCATTTAAAAGCCATCAAAGATTATTTTCTTCTAGCAAAAGGTGATTTTGTCCAGGTAATTGGTCACAAATTCATATATATATATATATATATATATATATATATATATATATATAATATATATATATATATATATATATATATATATATATATATATATATATATATATACACACTTCACTCCTATTGAATTCTTAGTTAGGTTTCATTAATACAAATATCCCTCTGGATAATACCATATACAATTATCATGCAAGAAAATTAAGTATGGAAGATAAATACCTACTTAACATCATAATATAATAATGTGATAAAAAATTTGTTATTTATTTTAGAGTTTAAGGGTCTTGAAGCTCAAATAAAAGTGATGGATGATAAAGAAGAATAGGACATGATCGTCATTTTGTATGTAGTTAACTCTCAAAATTTTATAACGTAAAAAATAAATAATGAATTCCACAAAATTATTGGCATAACCCAATTTGACGACATATAAGTTTTTAGGTCAATAGACCACCTTTTTGAAATATATTTTAATTAGTTTTTAAGTAACTTCGTGTAATATAATTAGAAATTTCATAAAAAGCTAACTTAAAATATAATATAATATATATATATATATATATATATATATATATATATATATATATATATATATATATATATATATATATATATATATATATATATATATATATATATATATATATATAACCCAATAAAACTACATGGTCTACAACTATATGTGTCCACTGTCCACACACTTGATAAAAAAACTTGTGTTAAACATTAGGCTTATCGGTTATCTCTTTATACTACTAAATTACTAATATTTTGACCGAGTGAAGCCCTAGCCAGCTCTTGGAGTCTGAATTGGATGAATTAGGCCAGTAATGAGAAAAAAAAATGCAATTATACAAAATAACACTAAATAAAAAGGGAAAGGCAATTATTTGAATATTATTGTATTTATTTACATTTATTTCTTTTTTCTTATTCAAATATTGTAATTTGAAGTACAAGGAGGCTATATTTGGGTATACAAAAATGAAAAGTGCTTTGTTGTTCTAGAATATAGCCTAAATAAAAAGGGAAATGCAAGAAGTTGAAATGTACTTGAGATCGTTACATAAAAACATTATATAACTTAGGGAGGTGGGTATGGGCAAACGCCCAAGGGGTATTATTGGGTGTTATAACACGTGAACACCGCTTCCGTTCCCCGTAATCAGACGTTATTAGTCTGCGCGTTGCTCCTCATTACCACCATAACACGTTATAACACCTTTTTTTTGTCTTTTCCCTAATAACGCTGGTATTAGCATTGCCAACACCTATCAGTCTTATGCACCAAAACTAGAAGAGAAATATAAGTAGTCACAACCTCTACACAAAGTTGCCATGCTTTCTTCTTGAGCTTCTTCATAAGTAGCATATGCATGTGGTGGTTTTTCTAAAATGAAATAATCACCAAAATTTGTATGTTAGATTATTTTTTTTAATGCATAAAGTAATTGTAAATGTTGCATTAAAGCCTTTTACCTCATTATGTAAATAATGTGAAAAAACATAAAAACACTATTTTTATGTTATTATTTTGCAATAAATTTTGTACGTACAACTTTATATCATTATCCAGCATTAAATTAATAAATATTCACTTGTTAAAATTAAAATTAGAAATTACTACAAAAATACACATATATAAATTTATAATAGAATAATAACATTCTAATGAATATTTTGAATAATCAAACATTAATATTCATATTAGAATTAATTCAACAATACACATATACACCATTTATTGTAGAACAATAACATAAATATAATGTTTTTACTCATTCTGTTTATTGTTTTTATTTAAACTTTTATATATATATATATATATATATATATATATATATATATATATATATATATATATATATATATATATATATATATATATATATATATATATATATATCACCCCAATGAAAAACTTGACTCGTATGTATGTCAGAGTTTTCTTGAAGGGAGTCGTGAATTGATGCGCCTACCACCTCGGCAGTCGAGTGCTGAAGCTGACCTTATGGTGCCCTTTCGGCAGGTAATTTAGTTATCTTTTTCTACAATAAATCTTTTTGTTTATAATTTCTCACACGTGTGATATGTAGGCAAGAGCAAAGACAATCAGTGACGATGATAAATATTTTTCAAGACTCGCTTTGCGGTAAATCAACATTACATTTACATTTACACATTTACATTTACATTTACAATTACGTTTACATGTATTTGTTATTCTTGGTTTTAGGGTGAACGTTAGGTCTTCTCAAGCAAACGTGCAAAAAGCACCAAACGGTTTTGGTGAAGTTGGTGGAGTTGGTCCTAGTCCATTATCATCGGAGACAACCTTGGATGGTTGGGATGGTATTTCCCTTGAATATTCACTTGATTGGCCCTTACAGTTGTTCTTCACACAAGAGGTTCTTACAAGGTATTCATCCTTGATTCTTGATTCACTAAATTTCACATTCATAACTTAATTACAATTAAGTTAAAAGTTGTATTAATTTAATGTTGTAGGTACCAAAGGATGTTTCAGTATTTACTACGGTTAAAAAGAACACAAATGGAATTGGAGAAATCATGGGCATCTGTAATGCAACAAGGTCACTTGGATTTTGAGAAAAGTCATAGTGAGCGTGTAAAGGGAAAAACATCTCAACACAAACGACACCGTGTTAGACCAATGTGGTGGGTTAGAGAGCAAATGGTGTTCTTGATACGTAATCTTCAGTTTTATATACAGGTGATCATGAACTCTAAACTTTGAACTTAATCTCAATATGAATTTTACAAATATTATCATTCTTATCTATAACTATGTGTGATTGGTATGTATGTATTTATCAGGTGGATGTGATAGAATCTCAATGGGATATATTAGTAGCTCATATAAAGGAGTCTCGTGATTTCACTGATTTGGTTGCCTTCCATCAACAGTGAGTGACCATTTTTATAAATATGGTCAGTTTTAGTTTTTTTATTGACAAAAGAAAAATATGGGTAATGGGTGAATGAATGTGAATATGTAGATACTTGTCGGCTTTGATATCACAATCGTTCTTGGATATTGGATCGGTATCAAGAATATTGGATGGAATCATGAAGCTGTGTTTGCAGTTTTGCTGGAAGATTGAAAACCAACAAACTCAAAATCAAACTGAAACTGATGATGCAAAAAACATCAATGAATTGGAACGTATATCAGAGGTAATCTAAACCCGGTATAACAATAATAATAGTAACATATTTTTTGAGTTAGTTTATTTTGATGATGAACATAAAATACAGGAATTTAAAATGAAATCAAATTCGCTATACACGATATTGCGTAGCAGTAGGCTTGCGGGAAGCCAACGAGCTCCTTTCCTTAGGCGTTTCCTTTTGCGTTTCAACTTTAATTCCTACTATGAGGTAAAGCTAATAATTAATTTCTTCTTTTTGCATCTTAAATTAAGAGTTGTAATATTAGTTTTGTTGTATTTAATGAGAACAGGCAACTGCTCAAGGTGTTAATGTTATGAATGTGACCCGACCACAACCAACAATCCCAGCCTTCCTACGTTTACAACTCTAAATCTTACTACTCATCACGACCCGTTTTCATGGCAGAAGCCAATCGGGCCCATTCCTTTTTTGCTATCATAAAGCTTTGAAACGTATGTTTTTTTTACAATGGTTTAAAATATAATTGACAATATTTTGACAAGCTAAACCTATGAAGTAATTCAGAGGAACAACATTGTAATTTACTTTAACATAAAAGAGTTGAGAGTGAATCTAACTAGCATGGTCTAGTTATTTTGGGAGGCCTTCTATCCTCTTTCTTCAACTAAAAGTCTAACATGGCGTGATAATAGTTTATTTTTTTGTTAACGTAATTAATCTATGATTTATGTAAATCTTGTTTGATATAAGACCATTTTCCCATAAAGCTATTATTTTACAACAAATTGATACAAAAAATAATATAATACCAAATCTTCTCCAACCGATTACTATTTTAACACCAAAATAAACATGCTATGCATATTTATTTTGTCTAAGTTTTATAGTTTTTCAAAAATAATTATGAGCTTTTTAAAAACTTGAATCGTATATTTTAGTTAGGAAAATGTCAATCTAACCTTATAAACATGAAATGCCAAAAATAGTCAATTATACTAATTACATTACAAAAATAACAAAAAAAAATCGAAATTGCAAAAATAGCTCTCAATTTCGCAGACGAAATAGTCCCATCTGCGAAATGGGCTTTCCATCTGTGAATGTACAAGCAGTTAAAACACAACTGTGTTTTAGTTGCTTGTATATTTTTTTTCTCTATATATATTGAAATTGTAGGGTAAATTCGCAGATGGAATATCCTCATCTGCGATTTACTCTGATTTCATCTGTGAAATTGCGGTTTATTTTTATTTATTTTTATTTTTTTTAGTTTGATTATGAAATCAATTGGTTTATAGCTCGGTTATATCTAAACATACATCACCAACATCAACATAATCCCCGTAAACATGCTTTTTTTCATTTTTTTGACTTGATTTTTTTTTCTTTTTAGTTTTATCTACCACACGCCTATTCATAACTTTAACTTCTTGTTGAGCAATATTATTTCGTAGTCAAACCAATTGATTTCATAGTCAAACTAAAAAAAAATTAAAAATAAACTGCAATTTCACATATGGAATCAGAGTAAATCGCAAATGGGGCTATTTCATCTGCGATTTTACCCTACAATTTCAATATATATAGAGAAATAAATAAATAAATAAATAAACCACCTGCGAATGTACAAGCAGCTAAAGCACAGTTGTGCTTTAGCTGCTTGTACATTCACAGATGGAAAGCCCATTTCACAGATGATACTATTCCATCTGCAAAATTAATGGCTATTTTTGCAACTTCGATTTTTTTTAGCTATTTTTGTAATGTAATTAGTGTAAATAACTATTTTTGTCATTTTCTCTATAAACATTTGCGATTTTGAAGGGGCAACTAGTTACCCAATGACTTCTCATCAAATAAAAGTGCCACGTAGTTGCCCAATAACAAGTATCGTTCTTCCCCACTTTCTCTTTTCTTTTGCTTCTAGAGTGAGGTATCTCCATGATCTTATCCTCAATAGGTTCCTACAATCAATCACAAAAGTCGTTGACTTCTTCTTTCCCACTTTTGCTTCGAAACCTCTTTCTCGACTCATCTTCGCTTCTTTTTCTAAATCTCCATCTACAAATAACAATAATAAAATCAACAAATTGCAAGATTGAATAACAATTCAGATGTCTAAAAAGAATCACATATAGAGAAGGATAGAATGGTGATATAAGGTGACACAAAGCTCTTTAGGGTTTTGGGTTATTTGTTGTAAGTATGTGAGTTGGATCAATGATTTAACCAGGAATATCTATACAAGTTTTAGAGGGTTGCCGAGGAGAATAATAAGTCCAATATTTCCTCAAATGTCAATACCAATGATGGTGATAGGGATGAATTTGGATTGTGGTATTAGAATGTGTGAAAATTTTAAGGAAGTTGAAACATGGAGCCATGGGGGCTTAGAGGGAGGGCAAAGTGGGCAGTTGTACATGGCTTAATTTTTTTGATTATATATTTTTATTTAAAAATACAAAATTATAATAAAGATAAGGACTTTTTTTTTTTTCTTGTTCGTCCTGAACCTTTAAGAATATTTTATTTTTCAGGACCAACCCTGGATGAAAACATTAACATTGAAGAATTCAAAATGTGTGTTGGGCACTCACCTATTCTTCGCCTAGTAAACCTCCCACTAGTATTAGGTTTCCGTCGAAGAATAGAGAGACGAAATAAAGCGACAACATGAAAAGGGTGAGGATTTAGTTTTCGCATTTAATGTAACTAGTTTCTTTGAAATGTGCTTGTTTCATCAATGAGTCAATTTTAACTATTTTAGCATTAATTTTGATTTATATATAAAAAAAAATTAAAAAATAAGTGGTTTGACTTCTCTAGCTCACATGTAGGATCACATTGTGTGCTTATGTGGCGTTACAACCCGCTACCATGGGTTAATGGTGTAAATAAGCTTGAAACATAAATTCAAATCGAATACATATATATCATATTAGGTTAGTATCAATTTAATTAATAGTATAATATTAAAAGTAAATTTGTAAAATATAGACTATTATCCTTAGTAATACTACTAAATTTAGCATTTGATATTCATAAATAGTATAATAATATATATTGTGCGTTATATTATTCATCAAATTAAATTTGTTGCAAGTGTTTAATTAAAATTTCGGTTGAAATAACTTTACATTATTTTTAGTATCAAAAATAGATTTTAATGGTTGGGGATAGTCATAAAATAAGAATTTTTAATTAAGAAATCAAATATCCTTCTATATTTTATTTATATTCATTTGATCAAGACAATAGTTAATTTTTAGAGAGAGAGAGAGAGAGAGAGAGAGAGAGAGAGAGAGAGAATTAGTGATGGACAACGTATCTGAGTTTAGATTTTTTTATGTGAGACAGAGTTATAAGATTCTTTTAAGGGATCGATCTACTCTTTAGATGTGTTGAATGGTTTTAATTCATCTGGGTTTTTTCAACCACAAACTTTCACTAAAAGATGTTTTGGTCATGTTGTTTTGTAATATCGACAAAACCAAAGAACTGTGGTACCAAATTATAGATTGTAACGCTTGGAATACACGTCATTGAAACCCGAATCATATATGGTATATTTTTCAGTAAAACTACCTATATACCTCGTATGAAGTTAACTCTGTTTGATAAAAGAATTTCATTTCGTTTTCAGCGGAGACAATTTCTCGTAATTGTTTGTTTTTCTATGACTATTAACAAAAGTCAATGACATTCATTATCAAAAGGTGTATTATACTTGTATAGACCCGTCTTTACTCATTGTCAATTATATGTCATTGTTTCCCACGCCACAAGTAAAAAGGGTTTGAAGGAACTCATATGTGACGATAAAGATCATTCAACTAATAAAACAAAAAAAAAATATTATCTACAAAGAAGTCTTTCAATAATTATAGGGATTTACTGATTTTATTGTACGTTTTTACACATTTCAGTATCATCAATGATCTAAAGCTGTTTTCTGTTAGTTTATATATTTTTTAATTTGTGTGCCACATTTTTATACCATTATATGTATTAGTTTATACGTTCACTAAAAAATCAAAATGAAATAAGAACATGCCTACACGTCTTCATGGTCACTTCATACCAATCCTTCCCTCGATATCGTCGTCGACTCTGCGGGACCTGGCCTCATATACCCCGCCATTGGAAATTACCTTTAAAGTGTAAAATTATTAGATCAAAGTATGAACAACCTCTGGTGGAACCCCATGAGTTGATATTCAATGCCTATTTTTTTCTTAAACATACTTATGAAAACAGGAGATGTGAAATCATTTTGGTAGAACATGGATTCAATCAAAGTTACAATTGTAACTTTAGGTTAACGAAATGTGTATAATGCTTGAACCTACAAGAATATTTGTACTTCATAGATGCTTGTATCATTATTCGTATAAATCTTAACCTATGCTCTATAATATTTGTTAAAGATGTTAAAGAGACGATTCCATGATTCACTTGTAGGTGAACCGACACAACAATCACTTCACATCATCATCTATGATGACTTGTTTTTCCTTATTATCCACCGTTCGAGTAACACTGAAGCAAGAATCGAAGTGTGTGAGACAAATTAAACCTCCATCTTCATGGTTGCAACAGAAAGCAAAAGCTCTATGCCGACTTTTGACAGACAAACTGCAGTCTGCATATATCCACAAAAACAAGCAATTCCTATTTATGGGACGATTTTCTTCCTAGTGGTTCACACTCGCTTATGCTCGAGGGAGTTGTGCCAAGTTTGCCACCATGCCACCTCAGCTTTTTGGCGTCCACATCATTTTTATCATACAATATGCATGACATGCCATTTAGGTGGGGTGAGTTAACATTGTTGCATGACTTGGAGAATAAAGAGGTCATTGCATTATGTGGTTGTATATCTTGTATAAAAAATTAATCGTGGAACTCTCTCTCTCTCTCTCTCTCTCTCTCTCTCTCTCTCAATGCCATTTGACCTCAACCAACTTGGCTTGCCACCATGAGGGGGCGGTGCATGCCAAGTTTGTCACGCCTTTACCAAACTCAATGCCAAGCAACTCCCTCAAGTATTATGATTCCAATTCCATACCATCCACTGTCGTTTAGGATGCCAACATGGAAATTCATACTTTGTGAGGATTTTTTATAGGATATGGAGCACCCGTGAATCTGTTTGTAGTTCACCAGACTATAGGTTCAAAGCAATTGAACTTTTCATTTTTATTTGGGTATATCCTATTATGTGTTAGATTATTTGGTAGTCATAAAATTACATATATTGGATAATTAAATTAGGTTAACCTACAAATATGCGTAGGTTGGACCGTTGTCTATATAAATGACGATGACGAGTTAAAAGACAATTCAGACATTGTTAATTATATATCCGTTGAGAAGTAGAAATGAATCTTGATCAACCACAAACTTAAAAATGTGGACATTAGAAGTTCTAACTTGGTTTGTTTGTAAATGTAGGGTATAAATTGGATAAAATAAAAAGATTGGATGTTGGAGTTGTAATTTGCAAATACGATGGATTGCTAATGATAGATGGACAATCATTCCGCTTGGGGCTCACTTGAAGTTAAAGATGAAGGTTACAGGAGTAACAAATGAAAGTGCAAGGGTTCAAAATGTAAATTCAGTAAGTACTTAAGCTGGAGGGAGAGCCATGGTTCAATTGTTTA